TTAACTGAATTGCTTGCAACTTTCTTAGAACAGGAAAATATAAAACAACAATATAAAGGAAGACTTGTAGGTGCAGTTTTGAATGGTTACTTATCATTGAGAAGACTTGTCGTTCAAAGAACAAGACTTATTGATGAGACACAAGAAAAACTATTAGAACTTTTAGAAGAAATGACTACTGGAACTGAGGAAGAAACTAAAGCGTTTATGGCTGTGTGTGTTGAAACTGTGCAGAAATATAGTCCTCAAGATGTACGCACGCCAGTATTTATTTTCGAAAGACTTTGTTCCATTATTTATCCAGAAGATAATGATGTTGGAGAATTCTTCCTGATACTCGAAAAAGATCCCCAACAGGAAGACTTTTTACAAGGAAGAATGTTGGGTAATCCGTACAGTAGTTTAGAACCCGGTTTGGGTCCATTAATGAGAGATGTTAAAAACAAAATCTGTCAGGATTGTGAATTAGTAGCTTTATTGGAAGATGACAATGGAATGGAACTTCTTGTTAACAATAAGATTATTAGTTTAGACCTTCAAGTCAAAGAAGTATATAAAAAAGTATGGCTTGCAGAAGGAGGTGAATCTGATCCAATGCGCGTAGTATATAGAATGCGAGGACTTCTTGGAGATGCGACTGAAGAATTTGTAGAAACTTTAAATGCCAATAGTGAACAAGAAGTAAACAATGAAGAAGTATATAAAATGGCTAATGTATTAGCTGATTGTGGAGGTTTACACATTATGTTAAACCGACTGGCAGCCATACAAGATGTTACTAGAGCTGGGCCACTTCTTCAAGTTCTTTTAAAATTATTTAGATTATGTGTAAAAGTAAAAAAGAATCAAGATGTATTGAGTAAGCCAGAATTAAAAGCTGTCAGTGTTCTGTTAGACGTTTTGCAACGTTGTCTTGCAACTGAATCTGATAATTCACAATCTAAAGTAACAGAACAACTTTTGGATATTATGGAAACAATTTTGGCAAATGCAGCTTCTCAACCTCTTAGCACATTCGAAGCTTTTTCACGTACGCTTGGTGGTCCAGAACATATTAAAGCACTTCTCTCTTGTACACAATCCGCAGCAGTTAGGCAAAGTAGTAATGTGCTGGCACATCTTGCTAGGGTTCTCGCAGCTCTCACGTACAGTGATCAAGATAAAATGGCTTTACTATGTGATTACTTCAAGCCAGTTCTCAATTTTTACAAATTTGATTTTGAACATACACCAGAGGATGAACAGAAGCTAGAATTATTTTGCATCCTCACACAGGGTATTGAACGTAATGCTATAGGAAATACATTGAAAGATTATATTATTAATATGAATATAGTAAAAGATGCTTTTGAATATATAACTGTACAAGCACCATGTGTTAAACCTACTTTGCTTCGTACAGATAGCGACGAATTGAAAGATTTTATTTCCAAACCAGCACTTAAATATATTTTACGATTTCTTACTGGTCTAGCAACAGATCATGAACCAACCCAATTAGCAGCCTCGCAAGTTACAATTAGTATAATCCATAGATTAGAACAAGTATCCTCTGATGAACATGTTGGTTCATTAGCAGAGAACTTACTTGAAGCACTTTGTACTAATAAACGTGTTGCCCAGTTGATTGAAGAAGCTCGGCAACATACACGCAGTGAAAAGAAACGTTTAGCCATGGCAATGAGAGAAAGACAATTAGGAGCACTTGGTATGCAAACCAATGATAAGGGTCAAGTAACAGCAAGTGGAACAATTCTTCAACAAATGGAAGACTTGGGAGATGAAAGTGGATTGGTTTGCGTTATTTGTCGCGAGGGTTATAAATTTAAGCCCAATATGGTAATTTTATATGATTGATATATTAATTACAATTATTATATATAAATAAAATAATCAATTTAATGTTTTCTTTTTTTTTTATTATAGGTATTAGGTATTTATACATTTACAAAACGATGTAACGTTGAGGAATTCGAAACGAAACAGAGGAAAACTGTTGGGTATACAACAGTAACTCATTTTAACGTGGTTCATGTAGATTGTCACATGTCAGCAGTACGTTTAGCACGTGCCAGAGACGAATGGGAGAGTGCAGCTTTACAAAATGCTAATACCAAATGTAATGGACTTCTTCCACTGTGGGGTCCACAAGTGCCAGAATCAGCATTTGCCAGTTGTTTAGCAAGACATAATACGTATTTGCAAGAATGCACGAGTCATCGTGATATATCCTATCCATCCACAATTCATGATTTAAAGTTATTATTATTACGTTTTGCACAAGAAAAAAGTTTTCATGAAGATACTGGAGGTGGTGGTCCTCAATCCAATATGCATATGGTTCCATATTTAATACACATGGCATTATATGTTATTAATACGTACGTAAATATTACTATTATTATATAGTTATTATTATATATTATAATAATTTTCAACTAGAATTAAGTTATATTTTATACTCATGTTTTATTATAATAATTCTTTAAAACATTTTTATTGTTATTGAAATTTTTCTCTTTTTTCTTTTTTTTTTTTTTTTTTTTATTATTATATAGCACACGTACGGCTAGTAGAGAAGATAAAGCTCTTGTCACTTATTTGGAATCTCCAGCTAGTGCAGCGTGGCTTGAAAATTGCTATGAAGCAGATGGGCCATTATATCAATGCACGCTTTCAATTCTTTTATTGACTCCTAGTCGTTGGAAAAAATATAAAGTTGCATTTTTCAACAGATTTATCGTACTCGCGCATCAACGTTATGAATCCCCATCGGTTGCAACAAAAAATATTTTCGACACAACCGTGAAAGAATATAATGTTTATAAAAGTACTCTTATATTCTTAGGTCTTATCGATTGTATCTACACTAATTTCTTTGGGGCAAGTATCATTTTATATTTTACATATAAAATATGATTGAAAAATATATATTGGAAGTTAATTATTCTTTTTTCGATTATTATAGAAAATAAATGTGCTGTACGATGAAAAGTGGCCTTCGATCTTAGCTGAATATATTAGGCATAACGACGAAGCCATGTTAAAAGCTTCAGAACGAGTCCTTGCAACATATCGCAATGAATTGTTGCCTTGTGCATCATTTGAAGAATTTTTTGACGTTCTTGGTAAATTAAAAAAAAAGAAAAAATGATTTATATTATTTATATTTTAATTTTGATATACTATTCTAATTTATATATTTATTAATATATAACATATAATCACAATTGCAGGATTACTTGGCGAAATATCAGATCCCTCGACTCACATAACTGAGCTACTTCGACGTTTCGCTTGAAAAGGGTCAATCAGTTTCTTTTTTTTAACTAACGCAAATATTTGTAGATTTTTCACGTATACAAGAAATTCCTGTGTAATATCCTATATTAAGATTCTTTGGGGAAATTTCCATAAAAATTAAAGAACACTGTTAGTCCTATCTAATTCTATATGCTGTACCTTAGTGTTATATATGCTTATGTGTGTATATATATGTGCGTGTATATATAGGTGTGTTTACATATACATATATATATAGACGCGCTGTAACAGGCTCTGCTTTAATGAAATGCGGTGTAATAAAATCTTTGCAAGTGATAATTTTAATTACTTTTCTATATCCTAGAAATTGTATGATTGCAAAAAGTTTATTTCTTATGGACTGCTGTGAAAACATTGATACAAGTATTATTTGTAAGTAAAATATACAATTTTTTAAACATAGCATAATGGTTTACATTGAGGTGCTAAACAACTTGGTTGTGGACAACAATCTGGACCTCTTCTATACCACTTCAGTGTCTATAAAATAAATTAACAAAGATAAGTATATTTTTATTATATAACGAGTTGCTTTATTTATTTTTAATAAAATTAATAAATCACATACACACATGTATGTATAAAAATAATTTATTAACATTATACTTACACCTTGAAGCATATATGTTCTACCAGGTATCTTGTAAATTAAATCAGATGCAACATCATGAAGATTGGACACCAGCATAATATTTGCTGTTGAATCGTAAGTAATCAGAGGCCTATTTTCGGGAAATACCCATGCAGGTTTACATTCTTCAGGACTTGGTTTAACGTGCCATGCTTCAGGATCATTTTTACGATTATATTGTACATACGTCATAGGTCTCGTAGTACGCCTCGAATATATTAGGAATTAGTATCAATTAAAAAAAAAAAAAAATATTTCAAGTAGGTTTTTCTTACAAACAATCCATCTTTGCAAATAAACATTTCAAACGTTGAAGTTCTTGACCGCTACTACAAGTTTTATTAGAGAAACCCCAATTTCCAATTGCTTCTGCAACTCCATCGTTATTGCCATTTGAATATTTTACACAAGACATTTTTAGAAAATATTGATATTATAATAATAAATATATATTTATATAGTTATTTTTTAAGTTTCAATACTTTAACAAAGAATTTAGAATATGTACCATATTTATATATATATAAACAAATTATAAACAAAAATATGTCATTAAGAAACATAGTAATAAAGATACGAAACAAACATGATTATAATAAACATAATGAATAAAAAATATAACATTAATCGTAGCTTTGAAAAAAAAAAAAAAGATTTGTATTTAAAAATTGGCGCGTCTAAATAGAAATATGGCGTCGAAAGGATTATCTGGATAATTGATTAAATATTAAAAAAAAATAGGATATAATAATAGATAAATTGTTTTTAATAAAATTATATGAATTTCTAATTAATTCATTATTAGATTCTCATAATCTAAATATATTTCGATAAATGTATAAATAATATATTGGGGTCATTTGAACTCTTCGATAGGTGGAGGAAATGTATTTGAAAATTGAATTAGAAATCCGGCGAAAGGTTTTCCTTTTATTTAAATTGCATACATTCCAATTAAAATGAATTTAATTATATAGTTTTCTTATGTTGCTATAGCAAATTCTCTAATATATATTTTCTAATAAACATCCTTTTATGAAAAGATTTAAATAACAAAGTCCATACAAATTTTTCTTTACTTTAGTCTAGTTGGTAATAGTCGTACGATAGAAGTAGAATTTTAAGTTGCTGATATTGATATGCCGATTGACGTTTGTAAGGTACCCGAGACAGTCAAAAGGAGAGTAAAGAAACACGAGTGAGAAATATTTGTTTTCGGGAGAATGTCAGATTCAATGGTAGATGAAAGGTAATAGGATAATGTCGAATAAATTGGAAAGTACGTAATATCATATTATATTTGATTATTCCTTCTTTCAGAGTGACGGATGAAATCGAAGCTTTAAAAGCAATTTTATTGGATGACGAACTAAGCATAAAAGAAAATGACAGGTAGTAAAAAAAAAAACTTTTTTTATGATATTTAAAATTTTCTAATGAAATATTTTGCAATTTTACATTAATTTTACAATAGAAGCTGCAATTCCTTAATAAAATTGTAAGAGCTAATGACAGCAATGTCACAATAATATATAAAGTTATAACTATAATATAATTATATATTTGCTCATTGTAACTTTTATTATATATTTTGACTAAACCCATAAACACATACATTAATAAATTGTTGGGTTTATAGAGGAGAGCCAGAATATATTGAAACTATATTATTTCCCTCAACTGGAGAAGATTCACAATCTCAATATGTCTGTGTTACACTTGTTGTTCAATTACCTTATGGTTATCCGGATATATCTCCCAATATTAGCTTAAGAAATCCAAGAGGATTAGATGAAGATACAGTAAGGTTAATGCAATCAGATGCTGAAGCTAAATGTAAAGATTTTATTGGACAGCCAGTAATGTTTGAGTTAATTGAGGTATAACATAAAAATTTTGTAATTCTCTTATATCTTATAAAAATTATGTAACGTGTGTCAATCATATAACTAATTTTATTATAATAATATCAGATGATTAGAGAACATCTTACAAGAAGCAACTTACCTACAGATCAATGCGCTGTTTGCTTATATGGCTTTCGAGAAGGTGACGAATTTACAAAAACAGAATGTTATCATTACTTTCATTCTCATTGCTTAGCAGCACATGTTGCTGCAGCTGAACGCTATTATAGAGAAGAGCAAGAGAAGCTACCACAATGGCAACAAGATACTACTAATAAATTTCAGGTATTAAAGAATTTAGATATTTAATGTACGTGCAAATAATACTTTTTAATGAGCTTGTAAATGATATTTTTTATTTAGGCCATTTGTCCTGTTTGCCGGGAATCTATACATTGTGATGTTGAAAGTTTATGGTCAGCTCCACCTCCTATAGATGTGGAAGCTGCCACAGATTTTTCAGTTACCGCAGAGTTAAAAGAGCTTCAAAAGCAAATGGCTGCATTATACTTGAGACAACAACAAAGGGGTGGTATCATTGATTTAGAAGCGGAAGGAGTAAAAATGTTGCTAAGAACCGAAGATGATACTGCTGTTTCCACAGAGAGACTCAATCCACCTAGCACTAGCTTAAACACATATGCAAATCAATCTACGCAATCAGTCACTCAAGTGGTATATCAGTTCATTTATAATATTATTCTTTAACATTGAATTTCATTATGTTTAGATACTTGATGACTTTTTATAGCAATCTTCAAATAATACTCAAAACCAACCACGACAATTTCATCACAATCATCATGGGCATAATAATCATGGACATAATAATCATGGACACCGTAACAGAGGTAGAGGCCGTGCCCATTATCGACGCCAATTTGATAAAATGAGGCATACTGAAACTACTCCCAGATGACAATGGGCTCGAGATAAAATATTAACTGCCTGGTCATTTACTTTGCTAAGCGTATATAATACAGTTAGCATAATCATATTCATAAATGTAATATACCGTAATTATCTAACTTTAAATTATCTTCGTGTGATAAAGTTATAGGTGTTATTGTTCAGCAGTATTCCCATTGCACTGGTGTATAAGATGGGATGTGTTGAAAGTTCTAAGGACTGTCTACATAGACTGAAGCCATGGTGCTCTTTAAACTGCAAGTGTACAGATTTTTTAATTCAGTTTCCATATTTTTACATTCCTGCAATTATAACAACTATGAAAAGATTCTTAATTAAGAGAACTGTGTTAAAGATATTTTTACGGTGCTTTATAATTAGAAATTATCTTAAAAGTAGCAGATATATTAGTACCCTGCATATATCTTAAAGTAGCATTTCAAAGTGGTTCTTAATTTATAATGTAATATGTTGAGCTATACTCATTTAATTAGAGTGACTGTAATATCTTTTGTAAGAAGAAGAGAACATATTCATATTTGGAATTTGCTAATATAAAAATACAAATGTAAAATATATTACTTTCGTTCATAAATCAATTAAAATTATCTAAGTTATGTTATATCAAAATCAACGTATTCGTCTAAGCTCCTGTAAACATTGTAACTTTGTATTTATATTATTCTTGTTTTATGCAGGATAAAGGCATTGTCTATTGTAGATACTCCTTTAACATATATAAATTGAGAAAAAGTTGTTAATAGTTTTAATCTCTTCCACATGAATGTGATACTTACAAAAGGGTAATAGTAGGCTAAAAAAGGAACTTCATATTAACATTGATTAATTTTCAATTAGAAAAGACATTATGATATACTTCAGTCTTCTATCAGAAATATTATCCTCTTTAATGAAATAATTAATTACATTACAATGATTGTTGTATTTTTTATGTTAGTTTAAATATTAAATTTCAAAAATACTGATAATGGTCATTTTGAATTGACTGTCGAAAACAAAAGTGTCGAAAACAAAAGAATATAGAGAATAGAATTTTTTTAAATTGATTATAGGTATAAAAAATGTTTTATTTATAGAAAGAAGAACTTTATCAATATCTTTTTATTTAATATTTTGTCTAGCCTATGTGCCCGTTGAGTCTATTTAATATTAATATGTGAGTGATAGACATGATACCTGATCTAATTGCATCACTTTTAAAATATTTGTTTTAATTTTAACTAAAAAAAAAAAGAAAAAAAAAAGAAAAAAAAGAAAAAGAAAAAAGAAAAAAATTTTAGCTTTTATCTAATAACATAGTAACCATTCTATATATTTCACAATTCTCTTTATAATTTCATTATTTCGCTTTGCAATGTTGTGTTCAATATCTCAGTGTTCAAAAGCTTAAACACAGTAATCATGTTAACGCGTTCTTGTGTACTGGGCAGTATAATATTAAAGTATTTAATACTTGGAAATATATATATTATTCTATAAAAATTTTTTGGTAGATAGTCAAAGTAAAATGTTGTTAGTACGACAATGTTTCTCAAATCCTGGATTTGTGGCTTATGTAGCCATTGTTCCTACATGTAATATAATGATACAGTATAATTATATTTGTCAACTATTTCAATTTGTAAACACCAAAGACTGCCGAGTTTAGAGGAAAAAAAAAAAAAAAAAAGAAAAATCAATTAATTTGATATACAGGGTGTTGCAGATAAAATCAACGAATTTACCGATTGTGTTTGAAAATATAAAATAAAATGTCTATATAAACATGGATTCACATTATTTATCAGAAAATAAACATTTGTAGAACCATGTTTATGTAAACATTTTTTTTTGTTTTCTCTAAAATCTTTAATACGATTCCTCATTTTAAAACATTTTTTTTCTAGACCACTTTGAGATCTGTTTAAAGTATGCAGCTTTATTATTATTTTTTTTTTCTTTTTTACTTTATTTTATTTTGTACTATAATTATCTGTGATATTTTGCAATTATTTGTGGATATTAGAATCCGAATTTCGGCGTATGACATGATACTATTATTTTGTTAGAATTATTATTAAATTTTATTAAATTACAATTACATAAAACCCTTTTTATTTTATTTTAAACTTCAATTATTTAACATAATTTAAGGTAATTTGTGTAAATTACACGATTAAGTAATTACACCTCATTAATGATATTACACATTAAGCAATAAATAGGTAAACACTGTTAATAAATATTTACTTAGTACTGCCAAAATCCGGATTCAAATGATTATTTAGTTTTTATTATAATATTATGGTAAATGTAAATATTTCATATGGAGAATTAGAAATTGAGAACTAATTACATATATTTACTTTAAATATTTGTAGTAAATATATGATGTTTTAAATGTTATCATTTATAGGATTATACTTTCTATTTTATTTGATTTATATTTAACCTTATAACTTATATTTACATAAAGATCAGTTCCTTATTTGTAAACATTTTACAAACAATACTATTTAATTTTTTATAAGATAAAAATTTTTTTACATTAAATATCATTTAATATTTTAGATAATATTAAGTAATTTTCTTTTTTTAATTATGTATTATTACCTTAAACAATATAAAAAATTATTTGCATTCTCTCATATAACAGTTCGCACAATTCAGTGGTATTTCATCAATACGTTAGTGTCATATTTTGCATGAAAATATGAAGATTTACATTTAATAAAAGTATGCTTATTAACAGATTCTTTAAAACTTATAAAATAGTATAACAATGCTATAAACTAAATATATATAGCATATAATATGTATTCCCAAATTGATATTTGCATGAATATATCGGTAATTTTTATAGTTGTGCAATCAAAATAATTTCAATAAAATCTATGTAAAAATAATATATTAAAGTCAATATTAGAGAGTACAAATGGAGATATTATATTTTTATTTCTTGATTCTTTTTTTTTTTTTTTTTTTATTAATTATAGGTATGAATAGAATGATCAAATGAACTTTTAATGTTAATAAATATGTATGTATAGTTTTAATTTTATGCAACAATAAGTTTAATGTTCCATGTTAGTGTTGAATATAGTAGTACCTATTCCTTATTTATAAAAAAACATTTTAAATTTTAATCATATTTATTGATTATACAATTCTAATTTATATAATCTATTTTATTTATATGCTAACATAGTTAAATAAAATCGATTATAAAAAAATTTACAAATTACATAAAAAATGAATAAAAATAATCCAGCAAAAAATAAATTAACGCTCCCATGTTATATACAGTGCCATAAGTATTGCTATGTTTTATAACAAGAATTAGTTTAATTAGTTATGAATCTGAGTGAATTTTGTAATAATGTTCAAATGTTTACTTTATAAAGATTTCGGTAACATTTGTATATAACTGCATGTGTATCTAGTAATTATGCATGCATAGAATTTATAAAATTTCATGAAAATAGAAGTATAAACAATATTTGTGTAGTACGTTTTTAGTTAATTCTGATGCAATATTGGCCACCCTTAAAAGTTTCGTTATTTGAAATTACTGTATTTATATAGCAATAATCCTATATGAATATATGAAACTATAACCCTGTATATCATTACATACATAATATACGTGTATATTAGCTTATATATATATATATATATATATATATATATATATATATATATATATATATATATCTTTTAGCTTATTATATCTTTTTTTTATAATGTTTTTAATAATAGTAAATATAATAAATAGTAAAAAATTTTAAAATTTAACTATAGATTATAAATAAATTATTGCAATATTATATACGTACGTAATATAATTATATTTGTTTTTTGATTTGTCTTATAAATACGGAAATGAAATAAAAAATTTTTTTTTCTATTCACGTTATAATATTGTATTATGGTAATTATTATTTACAATATGTATAATGTTTTATCTTAATAAAATTTTCACGTAGATTATGACAAAGAATGAATGAAAAAAAAAAAAAGAAAAAAAAAGGAAAAAGAAATTAACATTCCCATAACAACTAATATTCAAAAACAAAACAAAACTATTAGTAGTAACTTACTCTTTAATATTCCTTTAAATTCAACAAGTTTGGGCCAACAACATTTAAATTTATTACAAAATTATTAAGTATGAAATAAACAAATTTTAAATCCGTTCAACATAATACAAAATTATCAGTATGTCTGAAACTCAAACTATTGACGCAGCTGACGTTATTTGTGATTTGAAAGCTGTAGTGAAAGCTTTAGAATGGTTAGTTCACGATAAGTTATGTCCAAAAATAATTTTTTACTGTGTATTAAATTTTTTTTTTCTTTTTCTTTTTTTTTTTTTTTTTTTTTTTTTTTTTTTTTTAATATGATTATATATTTATTGTATAGCCACAACAAAATGCAATTATTAAAACAAAAAATAGAAAAGCAACAAGAACCATTATATATAATGATACCTGTTGACAAGACAATTTTTAAGGATAAAAGTCAATGTCAATATAGCAAGAAACAAATTAGACATATAGACAGTAGTTCAAAAAGTGGTTGCAGAAAAACATCAGTTAGTAAAAACTATAAAAGTAGAATTAATTTAAACATTAGCAATTGTAATTTTTTAAAAATATAAAAATCCATTTTAGAGGATAACAGACTTAAAATTTCCTGAAATGCGTGGTGGAATTTTATATTCAAAATGTATGTGTTTGCATAGAAATGGACTTCAGGACTCGTGTCCATTAACTCAATGCCAAGGTCAACCACAATGTCTTGTAACCCCATGGCCAATTTGCCCACCTGGAAAATTTATTAGATCTCGTTATCCAGGACAGTTTCCAATGCCGATTAAGTCTGATCGTAGAAAATGTTGAAAGTTTTATAAAAAACACTTATCATAAAAAATAATCATGAAAAAAAAACTACTATCAAGAAAAATATTTTATCGAGATAATATGTAATAATATAATTTGAAATGCTGCCTCAGTATATCTTTTTATTATTGAAATGACATCGTAATGAAATAATACTGTCAATTCTAACATTATTATTGTATTAAAGCTTATGTAAATATCACGATCATATTAATAAAAATGATATTACTTAATATTTATCGATAATATTTGCATCATTGGAATTAATATTTATTTTGAATGTTTTATTATAATTCGCGCGCTTAATTTAAACGGCATTCGATATCAATGAAGAGGGCACTGAGGTAGCAATACTTTCCTAAAAATTTTTCTGTTATGAAGGCTTTGTTAAATTTTTATTCTCTGTCATCTTAGATAGAAGGTAGTTTTCTTCCAACTTAGATAATTCATCTTTTAAAATATTTCCTTCATGTTTCTGAATTTCTTCTTTTTTTCTTGACGAACATATGTCAAATTGAATAAACCTAAAATCAAACTTTTTAATTTTGCTCTTATCAAATATCTAATCAACGTAATATTGTTTTTTATGTGTGTTTGTGCACTTACGTATGTTTTCCTTTGTTTTCAGGATAAATCGGTGGTACTTTAAATAGCATATGGACATTATCGTCATCGGATATACTCAATGTGATAACGAATGGAATATCTTGTGCAGTGTATGGTTTGATAATAGTACGATTGGTGTGTATATTTTAACATGAATCAAGGCAATTAAGTCGTACATAAAATTATTTGGTCAAAGTAATACATAATTATAATTTATATAAAAATACCAGGTATTTACACATTAATATAATTTTAATTGCAAATATTGCTTTTAAATAATATATTAAAATCATGTATTTATTTGATTGATTTTTATTTTGTTGCAATATTTTATAAAAGTGTAAAGAATATTGTTCTTTCTGTATTATTGATTATCAATAAATCTTTTGATATAAATTATTAAGATAAACAATTGAATAAAGTAATCCCAGATATAAGTTCTTACTTTAGGAATTAAAATATTTTGTATTAAGTTTATCCGTCTATTATAATTAATATATTTTTGTAACTATTATAATGAATATGTTCTTTTTATTACCCAGTGATTTGTATTTTAATATAAATTATCTTTTTTTGCAGTATGTTTAATGTTAAGTATTGAAAAGAAGATTTTAAATACTGCAAAGAAGATATTAAATTTATTGGATAAACTGGATGCAAAGCTTAACGTATACAAATTATATTATGTATCTTTCAATTATTTATGGGGTAACATAAAAGTGACAAGGAAAAATAAGAAGTTCAGTAGTTAGTACACTGCAAGGTCAATATATTAAAATTTTTTACTTTCTAAAAAATCAATTATTAATTAAATTGTTTTTAATACAATACTACTTTTTATATAGATTATACCAGATTTAAAGAAATGTCTAGGTCAAGTATTAAATATCAAATAGTTAAGAAGGATGATACTTTATATTATTTGTCCTCTAAAAATACACAAGATTATCAAAATATACCGAAAAAGGAACCTTGTATAGGTGCCGTACAAACAATTTTAATAATTTCTATTTATTTTGTTTTATCTATAGGACTTACTTTTTATCAGAAATGGCTTTTCAAAACATATGTAAGTGATATTTCTTAAATGCTTATCAAAGAACATAGTAAATATTTTAAAAGAAGGGGCAATAATATTCTTCCTCTTCTTCTTTTTTTTTTTTTTTTTTTTTAATTGTTATAATTTCAGGGTTTCAATTTTCCTCTTGGAGCGGTAACCTGTCATTTAATTGTAAAATTTGCATTGTCTGCATTAATACGTTGCATTAGATTATGTTACAAAGGACCACAATATCATGTCAAACTTACTTGGCAAAGTATAATATGTTCACTAGCACCTCCAGGCATAGCTAGCGGATTTGATGTCGCTCTATCAAATTGGTCAATTGCATTAATTACGATATCTCTGTGAGTATAAGTAGCTTTTTAATTAATTTTTAAAATCCTACTATAAATGTATAAAAATAAAAATTCTAGATATACTATGACAAAATCCAGTACCATAGTTTTTATTCTTGGATTTTCTCTTATATTTAAACTTGAAAAAAAGGTAAGAAATTGTTCTTCATTCTTTTGATAAATCTTAATTTAGTTACTAAAAATTTTTAGACAAGATTATTAAAATCAAACTAATATTTTGTAAGAAATGTTTATTCGATGCAATTTTTTTATCGAATAAAACAAATTATTAGAGCATTTGTTTCAGTCATGGTCTTTAATAGCCATAGTAGCAACAATATCAGGGGGCTTATTCATGTTCACTTATAAATCCACTCAGTTTCATGTGCTTGGGTTTATATTATGTCTTTTGGCATCATTCTCAAGTGGTCTCAGATGGACTATGGCTCAAGTCATAATGCAAAAATCTAAATTGGGTCTTCAAAATCCAATAGATATGATTTATTATATGCAACCATGGATGTTGCTACCTGTAATACCTATTACATTATGGTTTGAGGGTAACAAAAAACATGTTCTACTAATTACGAGCTATGTAATTTTTTTATGAATGCGAATATTATCATAATATTGCACTAATATTTTAGTTTTAAGAATATCATTTTTCACAAAATGGAACTTCTGGAAGTTTAAAGTATCTATTATTAAAAAATTTGAATGCACATTTCATTTTAGGTCCAGAAATGTATAATAATCTTAAGAGTATTAATTGGAACAATTCTGAACCAATTATGTTAACTGTAGCTGCAGTCAATTCTGGAGCAATTTTAGCATTTGTTATGGAAATAACAGAATTTTTAGTTGTCACATACACCTCTAGTCTAACGCTTTCTGTTACAGGAATATTTAAGGTAAATTATAAATATTGAATCAAACTTTTATTGTATATCTTTTCTGTTTTATTTTTTTTTCAAACGATTAACATATTTTATATTGTAGGAAATATGCATATTGATATTAGCTTTCGAATGGAAAGGTGATCATATAAGTGGCCTAAATTTTGTAGGTCTGTTATTGTGCCTCGGCGGAATTATACTTCACGTTATTCAAAAAGTATTACTTAATAGAAGTAAGGTGATTGAAAGTTTAGAACTAAGTGATAATTCATTACCAAGTAACAGCTCTAAAAAGGAAGATGGAATTGATGCGAATTTACCCTTATTAACACAAAAATCTAGTTCCTTAATTAATTTATTAACTACAGATTTTACTTCGGACGAGGAAGACGATATTAAAATGAAAGAAAATTCTTCTCAAGTATTATCAAATATTTTACAACGCAGGGAATGAATGTAAATAAAAAAAAAATCATATTTATTTTTCTTCTTCCATGGAATTAAGTAATTAGCAATTGATATACCAAATTTTCCACATGCAAGAAAAAGCAGAATCGACGCATATTTCGTAATTATTATATATATATAAAAAAAAAAAAAGAAAAAGACTAAAATCTAATAACAATTTTAAGTTAAATCAGATATGATAATATAATTATTAATACTTCCTGTTTTTTTATTGAAGTTAATATTGCATTAATAAATTGTTATAAAATCATTCCATAAGATAATTTATTTAAAGACAATGCAAGAAATATGAAAAAGTTTATTATTTCTTAATAATAGAGTATAATTAATCTATGAGAACATTGATATTATATAAAGAGAAACAAGTCGCTGTCAGAGCATACAATGTAAATTATCAATAAATGACTATTTATAAATATAAGAAGATTTATTTCATGTATTTATGTTTTGTATAATAAGAATTATAATAGATGGAACATTAATGATATTGATCATTGGTATAAAGCATCATATATATGCTGACATATTAATCATAATCTTAATAATTTCCTATATAATATATTTTGATAATACACAGATCTACATCCAGTATTTCAAGTAGACATTACCTATTAGAAAAATATATCTCTATATTGATTAAAAATAAATATTTACATTATTATATTGCATTATTATAGTATACATTCGTATTACATTAAGGTATCTTGAATTTGATCTATTTATATTTCAATATTGTTCATTAAATTGAACGTTTCATAATGTTCGAAGTATAATACAGTCTGCTTAAAGGATCGAAATAAATTTTCAGTTTCAGAACAATCTTGTTGGATGAATATTAGATGAGATTAAATTAGTGGCTTCCGGAGCGCTGTAATTGAAATATAATCATAAGATTATATTAATATTATGAATGATTAATATCAAAGAGACGATATTAAATTGTAAAAGGAAAAAAAAAGAATAATAAGTTAGAAATAATTATATTACTAACCATCCAGTAACATTTTCTGCAGCATCACAGGCATCAATAAGTTCATTAAATGCATTTCCTTCGCCACAGTTTAGCAAACGTGGATGTCCATTAACGCAGATATAATAATGCTGACAATCATGAGTACTACGATAAAATTTTATTTCACCACCCAAAAATGAACTTTCTTTGACCTCCGGACATCGAAAACCAAGAAAAGCTATAGAATTTATTGAGAAATAATTAAACACATTTATCTAACAAGTGATAATGTACAAAAATTTAATATGGACATTCTAACTGACCTTCGGCATCACAATCTGGTACTTGATCAGGCCAATCACATCGATATAATTCTGGATTAAAAGCTAATCCTTCGGGACAATCAAAAACATATCCTCTTCCATCGGCACAATTCATAAATTGTCCACAATTTTGATGATCGCCAACTTTGAAGTATCCATACTGATGTGGACAATCTTCAGTTGGTTGTGCTGGCTCTAATAATGTTTCATAGAAAATTTATATATTATTTTTATTAATTAATATAATATTAATGAATATAATATAATATAATATTAATATAATATAAATGAAAGAATTATAATAACATATAATATAATTTTCAGATATGAAGGAGAATACATATACAAAGAAATAATTAAAAGGAAAAATAAAGTGAATAGTATTACTCACGTCTGTTTGGTCTGCCTTCGCAATTAACATCAATGGGATATCCGCAAGGATAATTGAAACGTGCGTCAGGATTGAAAACTAAGCCTTCAGGGCAAAGTTTCTCTTCTGGAACACCGTCGATACATTCGATGTATGCATCGCATTGAGATTGAACTACGAAACGTCCGTTCTTTTCCGGACATGATCCTTGCGAAACTTGTCTAGTTGGTGCTACTAGATGATTTGATTGTTGAGTTTTTGAATGTGTTTGATACTGGCTGATGCCTACACAAAGAAAATAGAAAAAAGAAAATTAAGGTAATTTGAACATAGATAAAATATATATATATATATATATGTTTTTATTATATAATATTAGAGGAACCGAAAAATAATGTCGCTTTCTTAAATTAAATTCAAACGAATAAATTTTTAACAAGTTTTTATTTTTAATCACAATCAAATATCGACATGCGCAGAAACGACATTACTTTTCGGTCCACCTAATATAATTTAAAGAAATTTATGATATATAGATAATCATCACTTCTAACATTCTAATCAAGTAGTATGTATATTTTATGTGTCATACATTGTTGGTAATATGAGCCTGGGTATTAGACGATTTATAACGAATCTGATACCGATCTTCTTCATATATTATATTCACGTATATGTTTCATGTACGACCTTCAAACGTTCAAAGAATTTCGATAGTTCGCATTACGCTTGACCTCCGCGAGAAACCTGCATTCATTAGCATTACATGCATATCCTTTACGCAATATCTCGTCTTACTCCTGCTTTTTCAAAGATATTATGAAATGTCAAAGGCGAGAATTTATCCGGTGAAATCTTCCAGGCTTCATCGCATAATATAAATTACTTTGGTGAGTTAAAATATTTTTAACATCCATATTTAATTTGTTTTTATAATAACGAGCCAATATATTTTTATATAATTATTATATAAATAATTCTATTGATAAATCACTTTTATAAAATCATATTTTACATTCTGATATTATTATTTAAAGCTAATTTATTATTATTATTATTAAACAATTAGTGTATAACTAAGTCGAAAAGAAATAAAATTAAGAAAAATATTAGGAATAAAATGTGTAGAAAAAAAAAAGAATAAGGAAATAATTATATTAAATATTTTTAATGGCTAAGATAGGTTGTTCATCCCTATCATAAGTTCATATAGAGAAAGCACTTACATCTTCCAATAGTGATTTATCGCGAATGAATCTTTCACTTTCTCGAATACGTCGCAATAAAATATACTCACATAGTGCGACGGCAAAAAAGCCGTAGGCGATGAGCAAATGGATGATCGAATACGTGGCCATTGGAACTCCTTCGAAGCAAGCGAACTTTCCTTAACGATTACTAAAGAACGACTATGAACTCTGCCGTGTTCTTCTCGGCCTTTTATCATCTTTACCGGTCCTCGAAAGTAAACAGGAGAGAGAAGAAGACACATATTCTCCTGTTATTTCTCTAATTTATACCATCTAATTTGTAGAAATCAATATAAATTTAAACATTTTAATAATATCATGATTACATAATCAAACAAATTTATTATTTATCAGTAAAACTATAGAAACATTTCTAAATACTTTAATTTTTATACTTGTTAAAAATATTTAAGAAAAAATATTTTATATTATATAAAAAAAATATATACATATTGTAATAACAAATAGTTTGAAAATGAAATTAGGTAGAAGTCACAGATTTTTGTTACTGATAAAAAGAAAAGAAAATATAGTTTGTAAATAAAGTTAGTATAGATTTATGATACTGATAAAAGAAATATATATATATATGGTGTATTACGTAATATATGATGGAAATTACGTAATATAAAATTTTCTTCGAACTTCGAGAATTTTTATATGCTTGATGTATCAAAAAGAGCCTTGACATTTGTTCGCTTTCACGTGTTGGTCTTTAACGGATGTTCAAATGCGAAATGCCATTTAACAAATGATAGTTTACTATATAACTATAGTTAACGTAATAATATATTTTTATTCTTTTTATTAAGTTCGATTAATTAATAAATACTTTTACGGTTCACGTGTGATTCCATTTTGTTGTTAGAAATAGTAAGTTTTTAATTGGGTTTTTTTTTTCTTTTCTTTTTTATAATAAATGAATTTCTTTATAAAAATTATAATTAACACAATCGTAAAATTCTATTCTTTAAATTAAATTCAGTTAAATTTATAAACAAGAATAATTCGATATTTAACGTATGATTCACTTTTGTCGCTAAAAAAAAAAAAAGAATACGTAATAATGAGTTATCAATTAGTTTCTATTATTGTAATTAATTACATTTCTATTATAACATGTGAATTTTGTTTGTTATTAAAAGTAAAAAAGAAAAAAAGAAAAACGATAACTCCGGCTAAATTAATTTATATATCAATGATGACAATTTAGCTTACGAGAGAGATATTTTTTAAACAAATAATTTATTTTTATACGATGGAAAAACGTATGAAAAAAGAAAAAAATAATGACATTAATAATGAATACGTAGTGCAAGGAAGTGACAATGGACAATTAGTTAATTTCCTGAATAATCAGTTTTTTTTTTATTTTTAATCCTTATCAATATTAAACAACGCAGTTATGTATGTGGATGCGCGCATGCGCGTGTATTACATGGAAAATTTTCTTCTCCTCGCACGTATGTACGTATTGTTTGAAGATAAACCGGATGTCCTCCACTCGATTGCCCCCAAAACATAATTATAACAATTGCACATAGCACGTCCTTTTTATTCTCTGCCCTTTTCCTCATACTATCAGTCATTTGATTTTATGTTTTTCCTTTTTTTTTAAACAAACAATATATCGGATAAACTCATGGAAGTTTCTTTTTATAGTCCTTTTTTTTTATTCTTTTTTTTTTTCTTTTCCTTTACACGAAAAGGCAAACAATAACAATCTTTCCATCTTTTTTTGCTTTCTCTCTTACAATTCTTTTGTAAAGCAAACATTTACATATAAATACAGTAAAGAAATTGTACAGTTTCTCTATTATTTTCATTGATTATTTTTTAAAAATAATTTAATTTCAAGTGGCATAGGAATATTTATGTAATTTAAAATATCACAATGATTTATATATATGTATCAATTAATTATAAATTGTTGTAAATGTTAGTTTTGAGTTAAAGCAAAGGAGTCAATCGTTTCAATAAGTTTGTGTATCACTTGTAAGATTAAAAAAAGGAAAAAGAATAATAATAATAAAAAAAAAAAAATATTCCTTTGTCACTGTGCGTGATAATAACATATTTTGTTCAACTCTTTTTTTCTGTAACATTTAATTATAATAATTATTATTATTATTCTGTCAATAGTTTGGAAGAGATGAATTGTATAAACAAATATATATCTAATATTTTTCTTTAATTAATTCAACTCCTTTTTTTTTTTTTTTTTTTTTGAACGACTCATTCTTATCACGGGAAAATGAAATTTTTCTTATTACGTAAATTTATATTAGTAATCAATTCAACGAGATATTATTTCTGTTTTTTGTGAGAGAAGTTGAAGGAAAATATATTTTGTAGTTATTAGGAGTTTGGTTTTTCTCTCTTTTTTTTTTTTTCTGTACACGCAAGAACTTAATAATTTAGAATTTGGAAAATAAATACTATATATCGCGTTTTTCTTTCTTTTTTTTTTCTTCTCTTAATCTTTGAATTATTGCAATAGGCCTCTTGCTGTTTCTTATCTAAAGAGAATTTGATAAGAATTTGAAATCCTAGCTAAAATAGCCTTGAGACAAATTTATCATGTGTTTTGTAAATATTATTACATTTGATATGTTAACAGATATGCAGAAGCGCGAGAGAGTATAGATGTAATACATAATGTAATTATTATTTTTTTTTTTTTTGTGTATTCGGCTCCTTTTCTATATAACAATAGATTATTAATAATAAAAATGAACGTTTAGTAATTATATTTATAATACTTTATATATTAAAATGAGAATTTTTAATAGGACATTAAAAATAAATAAATATCTTTTTACATTATTTAAAAAATTCTATTAGGGATATAAACTATATTTAATAAATAAATAAATAATTATTTAGTGTTTCAACAAATAACAAGAATACAATTATGGAGTTATTAGTTGATTATTACATTTCATAATCCAGCACAACACTTAATTGTGTGTGTGTGTGTATATGTATATATGTATGTATATATGTATATCTGTGTGTGTGTCTTATTTCTACTATGTGTATGTACTTCGTTGTACTCTCTCATTAAAAGTTCCATTAACAAGATAAAACGGGGCACACAGAGTTTCGGACGTGTTGAAAACTTTTCGTGTAATAATTTTCCTTTTAAAACAAATTGCTTTTTAACTAACGAACATACAATTATTGGTTTAATCGAGTTTTCCAAATACTCATCGAGACATTATAACAGGTAATTATTTGTTTAAATATTAATATATTTAACAGGCAATGTAGCGCGATAAATTAAACTATAATAAATGTTTATAAAAATAAAAAGCTGCCAACGTGCAATTACGCAAAATATGACATAGAACTATTATAAACTCGAATGATTTCACCAGGGTTATAGTCATTGTTTAATATTTTTTTTAACTTTAATGTGATTTGTGTATATATATATATATATATATATATATATATATATATATATACTCACAAATACACATATTAAAAGAGAACTTGAGAGAGACAAAGTAAAATATGGAGTATCATACGTATATCGAGAAGTGAATCGATTTGGTCGTCGAACCTGCCGACGATTATTATTATTATTTTTTAATTGAGCATTTGATACTTATAAATGCTCTGGAAGTTATATAATAATAATAATTATTATTATTATGATGTGTGATAATTATAATAATACATAATGATGATGACAATAATAATAATAGTAATAATAATAATAATAATAATAATAATAATAATAATAATAATAATAATAATAATAATAATAATAATAATAATAATAATAATAGTGATAACCATAGTAATAAAAATAATAATAATAATAATAATAATAATAATAATAATAATAATAATAATAATAATAATAATAATGTATTGATGGTTTTTATTGATGGTTCTTTTTCGAAATTAGCTAAGATTTTCTTTCCTTTAGTTCAGTCAATAGTGGAATAGTAGACATTTCTTCTTCTCCTTTATTTATTTATTTATTTATTTTTTTTTTATTAATTAGACTAGAATTTAAAAAATACGAAAATCCGAGCGTTCCTTGCAAAAGAAACGCAACTAAGATTGATCGAAAAAATAAGATCGTGTCTCCAAAATAAACTTACACGTACTATTATTAATGTGAATGTTACAATGCAATGTATATATATATATATATATACATATATATGTTATATAATTAATCTATTTGAGAAATTAAAATAAATTAATAATTTGTGCGTTCTATTGTATTATTAAACGAACTATTCTTTATTCGTGATATTTTAAACTAATCAGAAAAAGAAAAAAAATTATTTCGTCGTACTTCTCTCAATGAAAATATTTAACATTGATATTTTATTCATAAATTCAAATATAGAAGGAAATTATGCAATATTGTTATTGAAATAATTTCTATTTTGTCGAGACTCGACCATAAAATTTGTTCAATCTGAATCACCATACCATGAGAGGGACAGGATCAGTTACTTACTAATTTCGACTAATCGTGCGAAATCATAACGATCGATAGAGAAGCATAATAATTAATTTTAGCATATTATCTTGAGAAATGATGATTTAAAAACATCGAGAGAAATATATATATATATATGTATATACATAAAAATAAATGTCACTTTTTTGTGCTACGTTACTTCTCCTTTTTCATCTTCTTCATCTTTATCTTCTTTATGTTCTTCATCTTCTGTTTATATACTTCTTTTTGTGTAAATATCATTATTATTATCATTATTACTATTATTATTATTATTATTATTATTATTATTATAATTATTATTATTATTATTATTATTATTATTATTATTATTATTATTATTATTATTATTATTATTATTATTATTTTTCTCCTTCCTCTTATTATTATTATTATTATTATTATTTTTTGCACAAATATTCGAATTATAGAGACGTGACACGCTCTTAATTGGCTAGAATAATTTAAATTTATACAAATTGTGTATATACGCGTTTATATTTGCATGTATGTGTGTATGTGTGTGTATGTATGTCTGTGTGTATGCGTATACGTGTTTGTTGTGTAAATGAAAATTAATCGAATTATTTGAGGTAAGATGTATGTAAGTATTGTAAGCTTAGAGATATAGGATATTAGTATATTAAGCTAAGTTACATTCCTTTTTTTTTTTTTTTCTTTTGGGAAAGACTAGATTTAGGCAAGACAGTTTTGTAAGTATATTCTTTCATTGACTCACACATTTATACTGGCTCACTCTTTCTTAAATATACGTACGCACTTTTTCTCTTCGCCTATTCTTTTTTTTTCTTTTTTTTTTACTCTTGCTCTCCCTCCCACCCTCCCTCCCTCCCTCCCTCTCTCTCTCTCTCTCTCCATCTTTCTTTTTCTCTCTCTCTCTCTTTCGATTTATCTCGATCTTTCCTCTTGCGTTTTATCCTTCACTCATTCACAGTCACTTTCTCTACTCTCCACCATTTTTTCGTTTTCTTCCTCTATTTTACTTTCACTTTTTGTGTACTGTCGTATTACTACCATTGCTTTTTTTTTTTCAACTCATCTCTTCTATAACGTATTTTAATATGTAGATAATCATTTGTTTAACTCATATATTAATTAGTAATAATTAAAGTGTATTTTCATCGTTAGAAAAAAAAAATTGTCTATCCTTTTCTCCTCGTTTTCTTTTGCATTGGTATCCTCAATTGGTATTTTTATTTTTATTTTTATTTTTTTATTTTTTTTTTCATTTTTTGTCGTTACCACAGTTCTTCATTTTTTTTTCTTTTTCTATTCTCTAATTTCTATCACTTTTTTTTCCGATCTTAATAAGATACTTGAGAATCTTTTTGTTTTTATTTATTTATTTATTTTTTTTTTCTTTCTGTTTTTTTCTTTCCTATTATTATAATTCCATTATATACTAATAATACCTTATCAACGATTTTGTATAAACTGCATGTTTCGGGATAACATATCATCACAAATATAGTTTTTGACGACCGATAAAATATCAAATGGCTAAGTGAAATTAATAGTACTAACAATATAAAACTTTGAGTCAAAATTGAAATTTTTCTTGTTTGAGCAAGTGAGAAAGAGGAAGAGAGAGAGAGAGAGAGAAAAAGAATGAGAGTGAGTGAGTAAATGAGAGAGAAAGAGAGAGAAAGAGAGACAGAAAGAGAGAGAGAGAGAGAGAAAGAGAGAGAAAGAAAGAGAGAGAGAGAGAGAGAGAGAGAGAGAGAGAGAGAGAGAGAGAGAAAGAGAAAGAGAAAGAGAGAAGAATTAGACACCGTTCTTCCTTCTTCTTCTTATTTTGTTTAAAAAACAAGTTTTGTAACATTATTGCCCCCAATAAAAATCAGGTAAGAGCAAGATAGCACAAACGCGCCAATCAGATTAATTTTAAGTTGTATTCCTTCAAATACACTCGCAATTGTTGTATTAAGTATCACTTTTTCTTTTGCATAGAATCTCATTCGCACGCGTATTATATATATATATATATATATATATATATATTAAAGAAAAATAAAATATAAAACGAAAAAGAAAAGAAGAAGAAAAAAGAAACTTAAATACGTAAATACATTAATTCGCTGATTGCTTCGATTCAACCGATCATCGTTAGTATACAGAACTAGAAATAGATAAATATTTCTAATAAACGACATTACGAATCGATCCGTGTTATCGTCGATTTGATTTCGATTGATTATCAACGTTTTTTTTGTTGTTGTTGTTGTTGTTTTTGATGGCAGACTTGCCGTGCATATATGTCAAACATAATAATAATCATATATATTTAATATAGACATACGTATTATAGTTGTTCGTGTGTGTATCGGCCTCTCTCTCTCTCTCTCTCTCTTTCTCTCTCTCTTTCTTTCTTTCTCTGTTTCTCTCTTTCTCTCTCTCTTTCTTTCCTTCTCTGTCTCTCTCTTTCTCTGTCTTTCTATTTCTATCTCTTCTTTTCTATCAGAAATCTTTTTAATCGTCCCAAGTTGGAAAGTTTTCTTGTTGAACGAAGAGTGTAGTGCTCGCTGGTGATTGGCTGTGCGATTGATTTGTATAATTCGTCGGCGTACCTCCAAAATTCGTACTACCAAATACGGGTTGACCAAATGCATCTAGCTGCTGTCCACCATAAATATTTTGTTCTACGTTCGTATATGCAGCTTGCTGATTATGTGGCTGTCTTTGTTGATCGGTAACTTTTAACTCGATATTTCCCGTTGTACACTCAACAACTTCATCTGCGTTACCTTGAACGTTACCTTCTTCCAAACTGCTGTGTTTAATACCGTAATAGAAGTACATTACGAAACCTAAAATGAATATCATATGAAAACCGGTATCTATTAATTTTATCTATGCTTATTTCTTTTTTTTTTCTTTTTTTTCTTTTTCTTTCTTTCTTTTTAATAGCACATACCAAGTATCATCCAAACAGTAAATCTAACTAGAGTTAGGATGTTAAGTTTGAAGATGAGGTAAATGTTAACTGTTACAGCAATGGCCGGAACAAATGGTAATCCCGGTGTTGTAAACATTATAGTGTTTCTATGAGTAACATGAATAAAGTGTTATAAAAAATATTGTAAATCAACTTTATACTGCGATACAATTTTAATCACCTGTTTTGCGGTTTCCTACTGATAGCCAAAAGTATTCCAACAATTGCGAAAAATAAAATGAACAATAGTATCGTTGTAAAAGTGTCCATATCACCTTGAACGATATAAAAGATAAGAGTCACAGTCGGAGGATAAAAGAAATCACATTCTTTCATTAGCTTCTAATTCAATAAAATTCCAAATTTGATATACCAATTATTATTACTCACCCATTCTACATACAATGATAATATCGAAGATCAAAATTAAGATATACAAGATACCGACTAGTTTCATGACATAATGACCCGATGCTTCAGTGGCAGGTCCTCTATCTACCCATGGAAATATGGCAGGACAGAGATATTGTGCAGCCTTTTAAACGAAATATTAGATTCCGATATAAATTGATATTAAAGATATTTCAATATTACTTATTAAGAAAATTTTCGGGAGGCGAGAAAAGAAGATTAATAATAAAATAAATAAATAAACAAATAAAAATAAACAATTGATATACCTGTAGTCGACGTTGCAGATAATTTAAAGGTGGTCCTATGATTGGTGTATTTCCAGGATATTGATGTGTACTTCCGCAACTTGAGGCGGCTGCTGCTGCATGAACACTACCGTAAAATTTATTTTCCGTTCTATCGCTAACTAAATATTGATCATCTTTGCCTAAACCAACGTCGTCTTCTTCTGCACCATAAGTGTCGTCAGAATCTGGGGAGGAACTATTACACCTTCTGACACGTCGTACCTAAAACAAATAATTATTAAAATTATATATATATATATAAGAAATATATGTATATATATCTTACCATGATACGTTGTCCATTATTAGTAGTCAAAAGTTCTGGTTGAGCTACTTGAGCAGTATTAAGTGCAGTTGTCAATTGATCTGGTCTAAGCTCTTTTCCATAAGTTACTTGTCCATTTCCTTGAGTTTCTTTAGTTGGAGAACGACATGGTGTACGTAGACTTTGTGGGAGAAGTTCAACTAAATTAGTTGTATGCGGTTGATACCGTAATATTAAGACACAAGTAGAGACGAGAGTATATGCTAACAAGGTACCTGCATTAAAAATATATTTATTTTTAAAGAAAACGAATAAACATGTATAATATATACATATTCATATATGTAAAAAAAAAAAAACTATGCGATAGATAATAATAATAATAATTTGATATCTCACCAATCGACATCATTTCTACTAAAACTTCTAATTGTATTAATAATGCTGCAAATGCAGCACAAAGACCAGAAGTTAATGTAGCTAATGCTGGAGTACCAGTTGCTGGCCATACGTGGCTTAAAGATCTATAATAAATAATTAGAGAAAGACAATAATAATTATTATTGATCTTATATTGTTGAGAAAGAAATGGTAATAATATTTTACCGAAAAATGAGGCCATCTTGAGCCATGGCATAAACTATTCTAGGCATTGGAAACATACTGCCAAACATAGAGACAGTGAGACCAGCGAGTGCACCAACAGCTACAATATATTTGCATTTGTATGCACCAACATGACCGAACATTTCGACCAATGCAGAGTCTTGATCAACTTCTTCGTATGGGACTATAAAAGAAGAAATAATTATTATTAATTATCTTTCGAAATTTTTTATATCGATTCTCTTGAAAATTTTCTTACCGATAAGAGTCAAAACCATACTACTAGTAACGTAAGCAATGAGAATGATGATCAATGATGAAACTATCGCAAGAGGAATACTTCGTTTAGGATTTGTTGCCTCTTCCCCGGTAGTTGCAATTATATCGAAGCCAATAAAGGCATAAAAACATGTTGCTGCTCCTGTGAATACCTAATAAACAAATTGAATGAATGGATATCATAAAAATCAAAAATAAATGTTTAAATTTGATTTTTTATTATTAAATTATCCCGATTCGATTCTTCTTACCCCGCTCCAACCAAAGGGAAGAAATCCATTGTGTTCAGACCAATTACTCGAGTCAACATAGAACATACCAGCTGCCATAACGAAAACCCATACTGCGAGATTAATTGCATTGAGTACATTATTAAACACCAAAGACTTCTTAACGCCAGCTGCCATCAGTAACATCATCAGTATCGTTATGACAAAGGCTAGGAAGTCTGGTGGTCGTTCTGGTTAAACGAAAAAAAAAAAAAAAAAAAAACAAAATTCAATTACAAAATTTGTCCATATTATAACGATATTAAATATTTATCATATTACGTTCTATCATATTTACATAAAATTTGTTCTAATATCATAAGACTTGATACATGAAATCATTATTTTTTCTAATGTCCAGCTCAGTGAAAAATAAAAAAGGTAAAAGATATAAAAGAACAGGATAATGAAGGAGAAGAGATGAATGTTAAAAGAAAATAATAAAAAAGAAAAAAAAACTGATAATAAAAAAGCTCTCATCGTGACACAGGTGGATAGGTCAAAAAGCGTCCAAGTATGTGCTTGGTTTGGGAACTATGTTCGGATCGATGAGGTCCACAGGTGCCCTAACTAGATCCGCGCAAGCGCCCCGTCCCATGCATCCTTTTGTCGTTCATCCCTCTTTCGTCCTTTCTCCCTCCCCCCTTCTTCCCTTTTCCCTTTCCTTTTTCTCTTTCCTTATCCTATTTCTTTTCTCGAGAATGATTCGCAACTCGATGAGTTAACTTATTCAATTGCATCTATTATAGATATATGAGAACGAATTTTTATATTCGTTGTACAAACGAGAAGACAATAATATTTTCATTTACGTATAAAAAAATAAATAAATATTTTATATCCGTATGGATACCGTATGAATTATTTTAATAGTCTACATAAATATAATAGATATACACGTATATATTAATGGTTGTATATAAATATATGTATTGCATACACGTGTGATTCATGGCACGTGTTTTTCACTTTATAACTTCGATTATGTCCTACAGATTGCGGTCGAGTGTGTAAAGCTTGAAATCGTACGTAAGTGGAGCACAACCTTATTCCTTTCATCCACTGATTACATCCCCCAACTAACCAACTAACGATTCGTACTATATCGAGTCACGTTTTCGAAAAGAAAAATAAAAAAAAGAAAATAAAAATAAGGAAATGAAGAGAAAAGAAAAACAAAGGAAAAAAAAAAATACGTCGATGATCGGAACAACTATTAATAACAAGATCCTTCGAAGTTTTATCTCGATCTTCATCGAACTCCCTTAAAAGCTTCTTTTATGCAAATCCTTTTATGCAAAATTCATCGTATCATTGTATTAGTTATTTAAAGAAGGTCAAGACGAGTGAAAGAGTATCTAATTGTTAATACGATAGGATAGGTAAAGTAGGATTTAGGGCAAGGTACATAGATAGCTACTACGTTCTCCGTCCTAATCGATTTCTTCCTTCGAGGACACGTGCTACCGACAGATCTTAATGAATTTCAAGACGGAACGCAAGCACCGAGTGTAGATTCGTTTTTTATTTCTTTCTCTTTTTTCTCGCTTTCCTTATTTTTTTCTTTTTTTTTTTTTTTTTTGCTTTTTTCCTATCCAAAGAAAGAAATAGGGGTTACACGGAGTGGGTCATGGAAGGAATGAGAAGAAGGAAAAAAATAAAATATATAAAAAAATCAATACGTCTTTAATCAACATGTCAATATCATGCTCTACGTCTTTGAAAGGAAAAGAAAAAGAAAAAGAAAAAGAAAGAAAAGAGAAAAAGAAAACAAAAAAAGAAAAAGAACAATACTCTCCCATACTCACCAAATATGGTACCAACGCTGTTAGCTATCGCTCCAGAGACAGCACCATTCGATAGAGCATCCAAGCAAGCGCTAAGGGCGCAAGCACAGGCACTCGTACCTATCAAATATTCGAGTATCATGTTCCAACCTATAATAAATGCTATCAATTCGCCTACTGTCACATAACTGTACATATAAGCACTGCCAGTTGTGTGAGGCACTCTTACTCCAAATTCTGCGTAACATGCTCCTAAAAATAAAATCATATAATTACGATATATGAATCAAAAATTTCTTCATAGAGAGATTACTTTTCTTTCTTTCTTTCTTTCTTTCTTTTTCCTTTTTCTTCTTTTTTTTTTCTTTTTTTCCTTTTTTCTCTCTTCTCCGAGCGATTCAATTAAAAATGAATAGAGAAAGGAATGAAAAAAAAACGAAAAATATAAGAAAGAAAAAAAAAAAAAAGAAAAAATGATTATTTACCAGAAAAAATGGAAGCAATAGCAGCTATAATGAATGATATAATGACACCAGGTCCAGCAACACTGTGTGCAACCATTCCTGCGACTAGATACATGCCCGTCCCGACGCAGGAACCAACTCCTAAAGACGTCAGGTCCAGAGTAGTCAGACACTTCTAAAATATTCATACACTACTCCGTTATTTTCTCTTAAACTTAGGAAGCATCGTTTTTTTTTGTTTTTTTTTTTTTTTTATCTTCCTCAACAAATTGCAAATCTGTCGGAGATAGATAAATTGCGGGTGGTAACGAACGACATACGTATATCGCATCGTTTGCATGCAATAATGGGTATTTAAAAACAAAAAAAAATAAAAAAAATAAATACAATAAAAAAGAAAGGGAAAAAAAGAAGAAGAAGAAGAAGAAAATAAAAAGATTTTAGTTAAAAATAACCAAGATCAATACGTACTGGTGCGAATGGCACATATACCCACACGACGCGCATAGATCTAAGTATGTAGGTCTAAGAATCTATTAGCTCGAAAAGTCAGTCTAGAACTATTTATAAGTTGACTTGTATGTACATACGTATGTAGATTGCTTTTTCTTTTTTCTTTTTTTTTTTTTTTTTCACTTTTTTTTTTACCTCTTTCATTTTTTTTACTTTTTTTTTTAATTTTTTTTCCTTTACTTATTTTTTATTCATATCAATTTATCCGATAAATCAACTTTCATCATAATTTATCCATCGCATTTCATTATACTCAATAAATGAATTCATTTGCAATTTGTTCGAAGAGCTAAAATTAATTAAGAGAGAGAGAGAGAGAGGGAGAGAGAGAGACAGAGAAAAAGAGAAATATATATTTTACCTGTAATTTCTGCTTCGGATCAGCTGTATTCAATGTTTCTGGACCTTTTTTCGTTTGTTCTTCTTGCAAACAGTCGATATTTTTTGTTCTTATTAACTTCCCGAAAAGCTCCAACCCCTTTTCTCGGTCCATAAAATCGAGCTTCATTTTCCTACAAATTTATTAAATTTATATTATCGATGTTATATACACACACATATATATATATATATATATATATATATATACTATATTTTATTTCGTTTAAATATATACAAATAATATAATATACGGTATATCCAATGTAATCAAGATAAAAAAAAAATCATTCGAAATAGTATCCTTTTATCGCAAATGAAATTGAAATCATGCATGAATGATTAAAAAAGGATAAGCAACAAAAAGAAATATTGACAGGAGACTTTAATGCGAGCTTAAGAGGGGCATATACGAGATATTATGAAGTGTACATATATATACATATATATATATATATATATATATATATATATATATATATATATATATATATATATATATAGTTAACACATATCGTGAAACAAGAATTCGTCAATAATGTAATATAGTGTGTAATACTAATTCCGAACTATGTCCATAGCTAAATCCATGGATTAAACGCAAATCATTATGGACATAATATATGCATTATTAAACGAAAAAAATTTATAATTAAGCACGATATAAACGCATATATGCATATCTCTATTTTATAATTAAATTCTGTTCATTCTTTTTTGTTTTAGATAAAGTAATACCAACATTCATAAGTGAGAAGAATAATAAATACAAATAAATAAAATAAATAATATCATTCATGAGTACAAAAATGGTATGAGAAAAAAAAAGAATGATTGCAAAAAAAAGAAAAGAATTTCTTTCTTTTTCGTATTAAATAATAATCCTTTATTAAATTATTACAATGGTAGATTACAAAAGAAATTTTAAACATGCGTCGATATTGATTCGTATAAAAAGTAAGGAAATATTGGTTTTTTATTTTTTAGCTTGAAAAAAACTCGAAGCTGCACTCGAGTTGAGGAAGAAAAGAGAGAGAAAGAGAGAGAGAGAGAGATATATAGATAGATAGAGAGAGAGAGAGAAAGGGAGAGAGAGAGAGAGAGAGAGAGAGAGAGAGAGAAAGAGAGAGAGACCTTATAACATAACCCTGAAACCTACAGATCGATCAACGGCAATGCTGCCGGTATCTATGAAAACTAGGTACGTCACGATTTGTTTATCTGGGATAAAAAAAAATAGCTGACTATGCGTATATCGTGATAATAAAATTAAAACATTTTCATATGAAAATAATTTAAAAATAAATTAAA